TATCCTCACTGCTTGGCAAAACAGGTCCTCCAACAGGTTGAATGACTTGCTGATTGAATGAGCCTGTATGGCACCCTAGGAACTGGGTCTCAGAGCAAATACGAGCTTTTCAATAGCTAATGTACCTCTTGCAACTAAGCCCAATCCAGACAGTGAAGAAATTCCTCACCAGTGGCTACCATGTACCACCACATTATACAAGGTTCACTCTGATATGGTAGAAATTTTATTTCAGGTGGTATGCACCTAGGCCTGAACGGGATAACAAAATCTTAATAAGCCTCTTCATCATTATTTATCCTGCTCTGACCACAAATATCTCTATAGTACTTCAAAGAAGGTCTAGGAAACTAACTCTTCAGGTCACAGAGACAAGGACAATACTAGTATGCACTAAAGATGAACAACATGGCAAAATAATAAAAACAAGACAGTTTATGTGTTTTCAATTTAAAAAATTAAAAAATTTAGGTCTGAGGTTGACTTTCCTTTAACATCTGATGTAAAAAAAAGCAAAAAGCAAGAGTTTTAAAAATAAAGCTGCAAAAATCCAGCCCTGACTTCATGTAAATGAGAATAATATTTCTTCAAAGTATTTCTGTCTACAGATAACATAAGTTGGAACCAATTTACATGGCTAAGACCACTTAATATAAACTCCAGGAAATTAAAAATCCTAAATATTTAGAAATAATAAAGAAAACAACACTTTAGCTAGTGTATCACCTTTGAAACTATTAACATTACTTATGAAATTTATGCCATTAAATGAGAAACATTGTCTATTGCCTCTTAATCACTGGAATTACTGTTTGCTATGAAATGTCTGCAATGTATTGAAGAACAAACATCTCTGATTTGAACTTTTACTTAGATTAATATTTCATGTTTCTTTCTTATTAAAAACAAACACAATTAAGACATGATTTGAACAAAAACTTGAACATGCTATTTAGCTTCCTTGCATCTTCAGCTCTGATATTAAGGGGTTAGACTAGATCATCTCTAGGGTTCCTTCTTATTGTAAAGTTCTGTGATTATGTTTTTATTGTGAAGTTTGTGTAAAGTTCATGTCCTCCAGCTTTGCTTTCCCTTTTGGTACATCTCTGCTTTGCCCCCACTGGGGGTTGAGGTAGTTCCCTCAGATCACTGGTGCTCTAAAGTATTTTCTCTCACTATAATCACAACTGACAGTGAAGTGAAATATCATATCTTGTGGGGTATTTGTATGTCAACTGGGAATATTAATATCATAATCTAATGGACTGCAGCTTTAACAGTCAAATTTCAGGCATCAGGCATGGGAGGGTTCTGGGAGATTGTACGGCTGTCCCTTAAATTCATCAGTAGACACTAGTTTATTTTGCTTATGAGTAAGATACCCTTCCTCTCTTTTATAAACAACCATTTCACTTTTTTACAGAGGTAAAAAGATGAGAAGAAGCCTAATCTTAGACATTTAATCTCCTGAAAGCACAATTTAGGAAAATAAAATTTTCACCTATAGGAAGAAGTAAGAACTATGTCAACCAAAGTTGTCCCATTTAAATGACCTATAAAAGCAAAAAAGAGGATAGAAATGATACAGGAACATGAGAAATGATTTGGAAAATACTATAAACAACATTTCAATGATAACTTAACATTTTTGGAGAAGAGGAAGGTAATATAGAAAGTTTCTTATTTCCTCTACTGCATAGGATTATATTTTGTTACAAGGGAGAAATAAATTATTTCAAGAATGTATTAGTATTAAATATTTAGTCATTTCTGAACAAACAGATTGGCAAAGTCACATAAGTCCTACAGTTTAATTGCAGAGATTTACTTTAGTAAGAATAAAGAGTTACTCTGAAAAGATGATTACTTAAAAATATTATGAGGATTTCAATAGGCTTTCATTTAAGTTTTAAAACACTTAGTAGTTTCATGGAAAATGAGAACAAATGAACACAAAAACAAACACACACCAGAATTTTGAATGACTTAAGTCTTATAAATTAAGTTATAATAGCAAAGGAACTTTCTAACATGCCTTCTCCCTCAAAGGATACCAAAATTGCTTTCTAGAATTTAAAATAGCTTACTTTCTTTGATTCTGTGGTATGTTAAGACACACACACACAAATAACCACAGGTACATTTGTTCAGTTGGTATTTGGGATTAGGTCCCCTATGTATAGAGGAACTGAAGGTTAACAGCTGAATTTTTAAGATTTGAAAGAATGTGTATAACACGAATAAGTACATATAGTTTGAGGAATCAATGCATGTCTTATTCAGTCATTAATTTATGTTAATTTATTCATCTCGGTAGTGTTTATGCTTAACAGCCCTATGTAGAGACCAAAAATCCACCTGCCAAATAGCATAAGGCTTAGGAGCATAAGCTTGGCTCTACCAATTGCTAGTTATATAGCCCGAGGTAAGTTGCTTAACATTTCTCACCTTTGTCATCAGTAAAATAGAATAACAGTATCTCCATCATAGGACTAGAAGCATGCTTGGAACAATGTAAGGGTCAATGATAGCTATTATTAGAAGTCAATTCACTTACATCTAAGGTGTCCTTGTTCTAAAATAACTGGTAAGGCATAGTATATTATTGTTGCCATGTTCATTTGCATCTTCAACAGGACAGTAAAAAGTCTTAATTCAAGAGCACACCTTTAACAACATCTTGGTTAAAGCAGGATTTCAAAAGAGATTTAAAAAATTTTACAAGTTGGGCCCTTTAGAAAGATCATAAAAGACGGGTGACTTCATTTTCCTTTATTCATTCCCTTGGACCAAACCCCACTCTAAAATGATATGAAAAAAAAGTTGATTCTCTCACTCTAGCCTATAATTTTAGATAGTAAAACAAACATGCCAGGTCTCTGCCTAGTTTCAACTCTGGACTAAGTATTGTAGGATGACATAGAGTCACTCCTACATCAAAGGACTCACCCATACTCATCAGGGAACAATGTTCAGGCTAGCTGGTTTAATTTCTGCTGTTCTATTTGTATTTATCCTGTAGAAAATAGAGTATCAATGAAAAAAATCAGACTATGAATTTTGGAAAGGGGCCCTGGTGGTGCAGTAGTTAAAGTGCTCAGTTGCTAACTGAAAGGTCGGTGGTTCGAACCCACCAACCGCTCTGTGGGAGAAAGATGTGGCAGTCTGCTTCTGTAAAGATTACAGCCTTGGAAACCCTAGGGGTCAATTTTAATCTGTCCTATGGGGTTGCTAGGAGTTGGAACTGATTCAGCGGCAAGGGGTTTGGTTTTGGGTTTTAGGAGGTTTGGAAAACCTTGGATTAAGTGACACTCTCATTGTGTGTGTGTTTTTAAAATTTCAAATAATTAGTTAAATTATTTGAAAGTAAATATCAGAGGAGTAGTGTGTGTACATAAACTATTTTAGTTATTTTAGTAATAGTCTTTAAAATCAAAACAGGGCACAGAAATCAGCATTTCTGACGGTTTTATGAGAGAATGACTATGATCAAAACTCAATCAAAAGAAGCATAAACTAAAAAGGTAAAAACACTAAAAGTATTTTAAATGCTTGAAATAATAGATAAACCTCTACAGCAGAAGTCCCTGACCAGTAAACTGGAATTATTGCTTCTTTTGGAAGTCCACTCACCTACTTTGCTAGGGGACTTCCAGTATCTCTGAAGTCCTAACAACCAGGAACATTAACACTCTCTCCAGACAGGGACATAACATTTGAAATAGTGGGCTCTCAAATTGTATTCTTAGTAACTTAAGACTCAATGGATTGTTTCAGGCGTTCTGTAAATGTATAGTTTGAATTTTAAAATTTCATTTCCAAAAAGGAGATTGAAAATATGCACATGAAAATTAACTATGTGCCAGTATTAGTACATAAAAAACCATCAACCTACTAACCCTAATTCATAGCTTTTGTTAGTACTTGAGGGCAGTGGTGGTTCAGTGGTAGGTCTCATCTCGCCTTCCGTGTGGGAGACCTGGGTTTGATTCCCGACCAGTGTACCTCATAAGCAGCCAGCACCTGTCTGTCACTGAAGGTTTGTGTGTTACTATGATGCTGAACAGGTATCAGCAGAGCTGCCAGACTAAGCCAGACTAGGAAGAAAGGCCTGGTGATCTACTTCTGAAAATCAGCCAGTGAAAGCCCTATGGATTCCAATGGTCCAATCTGCAACCAATCATGGGGATGGCACAGAACCGGGCAGTGTTTTGTTCCAATGTGCATAGGATCACCAGGACATGGCAACTGACAACAACAACAATGTAGGTAATGCTAAAAACGTAAAATTAGGAAAGAAATTAATTCTAATAAAATTCCTCATTTGATTTTATATAGGCTAAAGAAAATTTTTATTTAAAAAGGAGGTTGCTATGTTAAGAAGGCTTGGAAACCATTTACCTAGATTCTAGAATACAAAAGAATCAAGGCATGTTTTATAAGAATCTGACAGATAATGAAAACATAAGGAGAAAGGCTGAACTGTTACTATTTTGTAACTACTCATAATTTAATGCCAAACAAAATCACTGGAAGTAGAGTAAGTTCAACAATAAAAATCTAAGTGAAAAAATAACATGTTCTCCATAGCAAATGTTTTAAAAAGTATAATAAATACAAGTTCAGTATTGAGATCTGGCTATCAGGTAGATCAGGAATATATTTACTCTTCATCTTTGCCAACATTTCTCTATCTATAGCAGGAAAGATTTAAACACTTCAAGAACAGCAATATACACCAGAGAAATACAAATACTGAGATAGTATCCCAATATTATGGTGTTGTTTAGAAAACATTTTAAGGTCTCTTGTATGTAATGTTATGTAAAGAAATCTCATGAAAATCTATTCTGGCATCCAGTTTGAGAGTTATTTAGCTATTTAAATTCCTAGGAATCCCAGCAATGTTCATTGTTTTTTACCACACATCCTTTAAATGGAAAAGGAAACAATATAAATAAGGTAGTACTGCCCTTTAAAACAGCATGCATAAAGGATACTCTTCGCTATTTCGGATGTCAACCACCAGGAGCTTTGGTTTACTGGACTTTGTTTTCTTGGTGGGTGTTTTGAAATGGCCTGTCACTGTGAGCTCACACAAGTCAATCAGGTCCTCCGCTGAAATCCGGGGTGATACTTCTGACTTGAGGTCATTTAACGAAATGGATTCCCTTGACTGAAAAATACAACAGACAACACAAATATTGAGATTATTGAAGAGAGACAAACTATAGCCAGTATAGAATATCTTTAGGCTCTTAATACCAATCAATTTAGCACCTGGGAGAAAAGGAAGAAAAAAAAGAAAACCATATCTCATTTTAGGAGTCAAATTGTGGAATTGTATTCTTTACTAATGAGGTTTATTTCTGTAGTAGTCACACATAAAAAACATTATTCTTTTTGCCTCGCTATTAACTTCTGGCTCAAACATGCTAGAAAGATGTGAGGCAGAATTTTCCTTATGAGAGCACTGTGTATCTTTAAAAACAGTTGCTTTAAGCACCTTTCACTTTTCTTCAAGTACTGTTGTTGTGACGCACATTGATTACAACTCAGGTAATACAGGAAATTGCATTGTAACTCAATATATACACTAATTAAGGAAACTGGTTCTAATATATGCATTGGACTTTTATAACATAATTTAGGTAGAGGAACCTTGTTGGCACAGTGGTTAAAGCGCTCTGCTGCTAACCAAAAGGTCAGGAATGTGAATCCACCAGCTGCTCCACGGGAGAAAGATGTGGCAGTCGGCTTCTGTAAAGATTTACAGCCTTGGAAACCCTATGGGGTAGTTCTACTCTGTCCAGTAGGGTCACTATGAGCCTGAATCGACTCGATGGCAATGGGTTCGGTTTTAACATAATTTATGTTATATATAGATGAGTAAGTGGAAATTAGATTCTAAGACATGAATAAAGAGCATCATGGCGCTTTCTTAGATAAATTGCTATCGTATCTCGTGAAAGAGGTAAAAGCAGACTTCAGACTATCAAACCAACACATTGGTCTATGTGTCTGTTATATTCAGATTGACTAATTCTGACTGAGAGCTATTTGCAATTATTCTGCACGTTATTTAGTAGGGAGAAGGATCGCCCTCCCCATAACGGCAATGTAATACAACTCAATTCAACATAAATTTGTTGAGCACTAAACCAGTTGCCTTGAAATTGATTCTGACTATTGAGCACTAGATAATCTTTAAAAATTCATTTGACATAATTTGAAAATTTAAGAACTTTCAACACTCACTTGATTAAAAATACTGGGATTCAAAAGCAAAATTTCATTTATATTCTTAATAAGTTTTCAAAATTGAATCTATTATTTCATTTACTCCTTTTTTCCATTCCATTGTAGACTTTCAGTTTAGAATTTCTAGGCAGGAGGAAATAAACCATGTGAACCACCTCTCAGAATTTTCCAAAAAAATTTTTTTTTTAACTTACAGTTTGATGTCAGCCCTCATCCCTGGCGTTTCCCTGACTCTGTCTTACACTCTTTACTGGTAGAGCACTTGTTCTTCTCAGTCCATTAACTTTTAAATAGAAATGGAAATTGCTAAGCTTTATGACTTATGGCTCATAAAAAAATATGCATTAGGAATTTTAATATTTTAATATTAGGAATTAAAGCTACTTAAACATTGTGAAATTAAAAGTGGTTCAGAAAGATTTAAAGAGCTTTAAAACCAGCAAGCAACACAGTCAATGCTTCCATCTCCTTTTTCATTAGATTGCAGTCTCTATAGGTATTTATCCCAGCCTTCGCATGTAGCTGTAAATTTACACAGATAAAATACAGACGTTCTGATTACTCTAGTTCTGCTTCTAGTCATTTAATGAAGAATGTAAGAAAGTGGCATTTCAACCTGAGGTAATATCTGAAAGGAGTGTCCTGGCTGATGAAAAACAGGATTTGACCAAAGTGTTCTCTATGACCAAAGTGTTTTAAAGAAAGATTTGACCTTGGCATTGGTTCTAATCAAATGTATCACATATGAAGAATTTTTCAATGGAAAGAGCATTTCCACATGAAATAGTAAGAAACGAAAGAGAGGAATCACTGACAAATGCACACCTTTCCAAACTTTTGAGTTTGTATCAGTAAAGAACTTTAATATGGTACATGCAGTTTCTTCTGCAAATAGTATATTCAGGAAAAACTACATAGTATTATGAAGAAAATACTTACAATATTAAAAATACAGAATGTTTTTCTTGTATTAGATAGTTTTATAAACCTTTTTACTATTCATTGTATAATTTTCATTTAGAGGCCTAAAAATAGAACTTACTCTGCGCAACTTTTGTCTTATTTAGTATCAGCAGACATTGGCATTTTTCTTATGTGACTGGATTTTCAAATTGTTGGAATTTCTTTGTTTATGGACAATGGACAAGAATTTAGGATTACTATAGAACAACTCTGGAAATCCCTATTGATTTATTATTTCAGTCCAAGAGGCTGGATATACAGGGCATTCTTAAGCTCAGGATACCCAAAAATAAGAAATCAATTTGTCTGAAAACTTTTTTTTTTTTAATTCATATTCTATTGCCAACTTAGAGTCAGAATTTACTTAGCAGTGCTACTAATAAAAAATAATCTCTGAGGCAGTGCGGGCCCTCTGAAAGGGGAATCTGGATATATTAGTGCTAAATCTAACCAAACAAGCAAAAATTTAAGCCTGATAATAAGACAGACATTTTGCTGTGTCCATTAAATTATGAGAGAATACCTTTGTCATGATACTTAAGCGCTAAAATGGCAGAATTTTAATGAGAATATGCCTGCATACACTTATGTTTACATCTAACCAGAAACCAAAGCTCCTAAACAACTATAAAGACATTGTGGCTATGACAGTACATAGCTGGTGGCCAGAACACTCTTCCCATATCTTTTGCTATGGATTCTGGTACTTAACATCAACCTAGTTATCCAAGACAGAAATCTGGAAATCATCCTAGATTCTTCTTTCTTCCTTATTTCCCATATGCATCCAACATATCCCCAAGTTCCACCAAAATATCTCTTGAACCTGTTCCCTAAATTCACTGCCCTCTCTCAGGGCTCCATCATTTCTTACTTGGATTATAGAAACTGCTTCTCTATCCCCTGCTTTCCCTCTTCATCCTTCTAATTCACCTTCCAAATGCTACTTGAGTTAAAAATCAAAATAAAAATATTATCATGTAACTTTTATAATTAAAAGCACCTCAATGACTTTTACATGTTGATAGAATAAAACTAAATCCATACTATAGCATACAAAACACTTTATGAATTGACCCCTGCCTATAGAAGAGAGAGGACCAGAGGCCTTGGAGTCAAACTACTTGGGTTCAAATCTTGGCCACATCACTTATCAGTATTTAACTTCTCTGGCTAGTTTTCTTGATCTATAAAATGGAACTAGCAACCAAAGCTCCTAAAAACTATAAACAGGAGCTACCTGAACCCTACTGGGTTATTTCAAGGATTAAAAGTTTATATATATATGTATATGTATATGTATATGTGTGTGTATATATATATATATAATTTGGAGCCCTGGTGGCACAGTAGTTAAGAGCTACGGTGAGCTATAGTTACTAACCAAAATGTCAGCAGTTTGAATTCACCAGTCGCTCCTTGGAAACCCTATGGGGCAGTTCTACTCTGTTCTGTAGGGTCGCTATGAGTCAGAATTGACTTGACAGTAAAGGAGTTTTTATATAATATTTACAATAGTGTGTAAAACCCATTACAATGGTGTGTGACACATGGCAAGATCTGAACAAATATTTGCAATATTTTCATTTCCTGTTTTCTCACTTGTCACCACCTTGTACCTTATGCTTCAGCATTAGCAGACAACTTGCCTTGTTATGGATTGAACTGTGTTCCCCAAAAATGTGTGTCAACTTGACTAAGCCATGATTCGCAGTATTGTGTGGTTGTCCACCATTTTGTGATCTGATGTGATTATCCTATGTATTGTAAAGCCTAACCTCTGTGATGTTAATGAGGCAGGATTAGAGGCAGTTATGTTAATGAGGCAGGATTCAATCTACAGGATTAGGTTGTATTTTGAGAAATCTCTTTTGAGATATAAAAGAGAGAAGTGAGCAGAGAGGAGAGGGCCCTTGTGCCACCAAGAAAGAAGCATCGGGAGTGGAGCACGTCCTTTGGACCCAGGGTCCCTGTGCTGAGAAGCTCCTAGACCAGGGGAAGATTGATGACAAGGACCTTTCCCCAGAACTGACAGAGAGAGAAAAACTTCCCCTGGAGCAGGCACCCTGTATTTGGTCTTCTAGCCTCCTAGACAGTGAGATAATAAATTTCTGTTAAAGCCATCTACTTGTGATATTTCTGTTATAGCAGAACTAGATAACTAAGACATGCCTTTTCATGCCACTGTGCCTTTGCACATGTTGATCCTTCTACTTAAAATGCCACACCTTGTCCATCTATTAAATCCCTACTCACCTTCCAAGTCTTAGCTTAAACATTACTTCCTTTGTGAAGAAAGTCCTTCTTGTTAACTTCTGAAAAACTTGGTTAGTTTCTCTTCTGTATTCCTCCATGTATCTGGTATACACCTTTATTATAATGGGATCATTCCTTTCCCACTAGACTGAAGGCTCCGCAAGGATAAGAAAAGTGACTTTTACACCTATGTCTTCCCCAGAAACAAGTATGTTATCTGACACATAGAAAATATTAAAATATATTTGATGAATTTAAATAAATGAAATAATATTTTCAAATCCTCTACTATTTTCCTTGAGTAACTTTTGTGTTGTGGGGATGTATATGTTCCCAAAACAACATGTACATAATTCCATCATAGCAATTACTGTATTTGTGACATGTTGTCTTTTTCCACTTGACTTACAATCTCCCTGAGTGCAGGTTCCATGCCTTTTCATATTTGTATCTCTAAAAACTAGCACAAAGTTCAGCACAAAGAAACCCAGTAGCTATTTGATAAATGGATGAATGAGTAAAAAAAAAAGAAAAGATTAAATAAATCTACAGAGCAGAATCTCTTATCAGACAAACTCTTTAGGGAAGGCAAATCATCAGATTCTCTCTACCTCTGGGTACTCTGATGCTTAAAAAAAATCACTGAAATCTGCATCTGTAATAATTTTTCACAGTCATCTTTACTGTTCTCAACAA